GTGGTAATGAAACTCTTTAAGTTAAAACACTAGACAGAACACAAAACGCTGCAAGTCATTACAAAATTGTACAACTATATATAGGTATACTCAAATCGTGTCACTAATTCAATAGTTTTCTTGCAAATACACGAGTTCCATTGTCGAATACTTAAATATTCAATTAAATTTCACTGTGTGATTTCAAATTGAAATCAATATAGGTACATAGATTCTTTATAGTAAATTGAATTTCCGTTTGATAATTTAATCACGAGTCTCTTTATCTCATAATCCTACTATCTATGACCCTAACTTCATTTTTCACATCAGTATTAAATATTTATTAATAAACCAGCTGTACTACCTAAGTTTTTAACTAAAATGTCGTGTTTGAATATTTTACACACTTCTCAGATATCGAAGTTTTAAAATGTTTTTAGCCTTAGATTTAATTTGAGAGTAAAGCAATGAACGCATTGGTTCAACAATATTATGTGTTTTTTAAATTTTTATTTTATGTGTCTAAAGACATATTTTATAGTAGAAAATATACTTCAATCTTCAACTTTGAAAGAGGTTTCTGATGGTAGCAAATTGGATCTAGTTTTCCTTTGGGTATCAATAGTAGAATCATAAGTATTTCAAAAAAAGCTACAATACGAACAAATGTGAATATTTACTGTGTGCGCATTATTGTACTTCATATATTTTAGTGTACTTATATTTACTGTAATATTTCATTTACGCAAAACCAATTTTTTGACAAAATCCATTTTAGATTCTGAGTGGAACGATGAATGTATTGATTTTACAATGATGTGTGTTTTTTTTTTTTTTGTGTCTGTATACACGATAAGTAGTCGAAATAATGCTTCGATTTTCAACTTCAGTATCTTGTTCGATTTGAAAGTGAATATTGTTGATGCATTCGGTACTTCAAAATTTAAAATTCCAAGTAATTTTCAAAAGCACCAAGAAAAACAAAAGAAAAATTAAGGAAAAGCGGGAATTTTTACGCAAAATCGATTTTGGTTTTTGGTGTAAATATAAACAAATGACTGTAGATACATAAAATTTATATTTAGTTTATATTTGCATTTTCTATACACGTTAAAATTTTCAAAATATTTTGATTTATTTTGAACTGTTTAGGGATATTTTCAGTTTCCAATTTTATTAGTTTTTTTTCTATGAATGTCAATAAAACTTTATTTGTTGAGTAAAAATACTTGAAAATTTAATACAGGGCTCCTACTATATTGTTACACTGACATTTCAAAAATATTAAAAATTCTTAGTCACGGTTTTTTATATAAGCATTTAAAGTTCAAATATTGACAAAATACGTAAAACTGACGAAAATATGAAAATGTAATACAAGATTCCTCGTAAGTTTGTCTACCCTTATCAAAAAAAAAATGTCTACAAGAAACTCAAATAAAATTTTTATGAGCGTTTGAAATTCATATTTTTACAACATTTGATATTCACTCGATTTCTCATGTAACGATTTTCTTATTTTGTTGTAATTAAAAAACGAATGACTGTAGATACTTGAAAATTTCACTGAATGTTTATATTAGCATTTCCTATACACCATACAATTTTGAAAATATTTTGACTCTTTTTCAACTGTTTACGGACATTTACAGTTTTCAATTTTTTCAGTTTTTTTTCTATAAATATCAATTAAGTTTTATCTGTTGGCCAAAAAGTGTAAAAATTTAATACAAGGCTACTGATATATTGCTACAATAGCAGTTGAAAAATATTAAAAATACAAATTCACAATTTTTTTTTTTATAAGCATTTAAACATCGAATTTTGACAAAATGTATCAAATTTAAAATTGAATAATTATTTTGTAGTTAAAAATGTATAAAATGTTCAAATTTTATATCTAAGGATTGCAAATTTAAAACAATATTCCACGTAAGTAGTTAATTCTGTTAAAAAAATCTAAAAAATACAGAAGCACAGTTTATTTTTGTAGTCATTTTAAATTCAAATTTGGACGAAATTACATAGTAAAAATCCTAGAATAACTATTTTAATTATTTTGTTGTAATTGTATAATATTATTCGTGGGTACTTGAAACTTCTAAAGTACACTATTATATATCTATGATAGTACCTATCACGGTTTTTTATTGATATAAAATGCGTTATAAGTACCTAATGGATATTATGATATGATTAATTTGAAATTTATTATAGGTACAATTTTTTTTTTCAATACCATAGATAAGTATATAATATGTCTTATACCTAGACTGACATACCGTCTCCGCTCAGAAACGTTTTTCTTATACAATAATATTATATCATTAAATTCCAATTTAATACCATCCATTATACAGTGACATCCACTTACCCCCCTACTGTACAACAGAGCGACATCCACTTAGAAAAATACATTAACAAATTGCCATATAAATAAATTATAAAATAGCCTTAGAAATAGAGGCTTACACTACAATTAACGTTCAGAATCGTTTTTTATTTGCAATAATTTATCATTAAATTCAAAATATGAAACACATTTACTACATTGACCTACTTAATGAAGATAGGTACTCTCAACAACTACTAAATATCAGACAGATTTCCCCGGATTTTACTTACAGGTTGGTCAAGGTTAACGGGATAGTTAGAAATACGTGTGACGACAATGGTGAGGATCTCTTTTGGTTATCATGAAATCCTGAACAATTAGCATACATTATAGATTTATATTATAAATTCAATCAAGTATATTGCATTCATACCACTAACTTATAGGTATGTTTAAATAAATTCATGATTTTAAATTTAATAATATGATTTGCTTAATGAATTCATAAAAAATAAGTAAAATAAACATTTATTAATTATTGTATTATCTAGTGAATATTAGTTTAAAATTAAAATGTCTTTATTAATATTTTAAACCAAATTGTTTTTATGAATAAGATTTAATAAATCTGTACCTAATACTGAATAGCAAAAAAAATTGATCTTGATTCATGTATGATGATTTCATTTTTGATTATCATTACCTATTGATATATTAAAAAGTTGGAAGTATTTAGAGACATTCCTCATCATTAGCCATATTATATTTACAATTTATTCTAATAAAACTAGGTTAAAACGGAAGTTAAAATAAACAGTACTATCAGAAAATATATTATAATTATTTTAAATGAATTAATTTTTTTTTAAAGTTAATAACCCAATGGTTTTGTTTTGGATTCAATTACATGGAAGAATCAAGGATGAAGACATGTCGATGTTGGGTTGGTTCTGATGATATCGGTATTATTATTGGTTAGGATATTATATTGTTTCGTTGATAATAACGACACCAAAGGTGTCTTTGAATATTATGAAGGTATTCATCTTTAGTTTACTATTCAATAATATAATATTATTTATTATTTAATATGAAATTATTATTTTTTGCCTATATATTATTATCTAATATTGTCTAAATACAGAATAGATTCAATACAATATTTAAAATCATTTGATTAGTTTTTATACTACCTTAACATTTTTTTATTTTTTCCCACACACTCCCATCTAATTTTTTCGTTGGTACGAATTTTTTGTTTTATATACATATTAACTAAAAACAATTTTTAAACCTCCTCTGTCTGTTTAAAGAATTTGTATTTCATTCATGACCACAAAAAAAAATGATAACAACAAATTGTGTTTCAAAAAGTAGGTATATACCTAACCACTAAACCACTAATAAACTGCTTTGAACAGTTTTGATATAAAAGCTTCACTCAATACTCATGAGTCATGACGATGTAAGATTGTATATTAAGATATCAATGTTACCTACCCACCTAATTCCGTACTAGTATACTAATGTAGTAATGTACTATTATATTTTATTCACAAAACCTTTTGGCTACCTATTATATTTATTTAAAATTACATTTTAACTAAGTTTGTTTTAATTGTTACTTATTATTTTTTTTATTATTTTAATAGCAATTTTTATTGTTTTAAGTATGGTATAAAATATACATCTATAATTTATTAACATATTTGGAAATTTATTCTGTATTTACTATTAAGACAATAGGCTTATATTATAAGCTTATAAGATAATAGGCAAACAATAATAATTGCAAATGAAATACATAATATTGAATATATTATTATGAAAAAATGGAGGGAAAATATTCGCACCAAAAAATGTATCTAGCGGAAAATGTCCATTTACCGGTAGTTTATCGTTCCAATATCATTGGATTTAATCATTGTATTTATGTTGGATATAGCTATTTAGGCCTGTTAGTATGCAATTTATTTAACAGTGTCTTTCAATACCGGCATGATCAAATGACCATCATATGAATGAAATTTGTTTTGGATTTATTCTCTTATCGTCGTCTAGTTTATTTCGGATATAAATTGCTGTATCGTTTGGATTGTTTTATATGCTAGCCATACTATTTAAATAATCACTGAGAAGTTGTTCTCCATGATAATACTAAACATTTAAAATAGCTAGCGCTTCAGCTTTAACTAAGTAAGAATTGAAAATATTAAATTAAAAACTTAGGTACACGAGAAAATATTGTTTTATTTACATACATACTAATTTGGTGTCGTGTAAATATATAGTTAGTTGTCGACCGGATATCTTAATAAATTAGTAAGATGTTATATGCATCCTAACGAATGTTAATATTGTTGTTGCATAACTTAGACAATTTTGTTGATGTTTCTGATTAAGCTGCAAAAACTATAAAATATGTACAGGTGTTGAAAACAGAAGAATGTCTTAAATCAAAATGTAAAACATAATATTATATGTTTCAGGATACACAGTTTACTGTCAAAAAAAGCATGAGAGTCATTGTACAATATTGATGCAATAAATATTTAATAACATAATATTATTAGGTACTTAATAGTTCAGCTTGGAATAGTATACACAAAATAGAGTACGTTTTTACATTGAACTAGTGAATTCCTTATAATGATTTTGTTTCACAGCGAAGTCCTGGTCGTATCTATCCTGCCAAGAAGCCACCGTCGACCACGAGCGCTGTTCCGTTTACCATGGTGGAGTAGTCGCTGAGCATGAAAATCACAGCGTTGGCGATGTCGTCGGTTTCTAAAATGAATATAAATTTCAAAATTGAATTTTTCGGCAGTTCACTCTATGCCCATTTCCGTCGAGCACGTCGAAATTCGTTTCGATACAATTCCATTACAAACCTGCAAATCTGCCGAGTGGGATTCGTCTCATGATGGGTCCCGATTTTTCTGGATCTGACCACGCGATCTTACCCATACGGGTCAACACCACAGTTGGATTTACGTTATTGGTACGGATACCGTACTTGCCCAGTTCGATTGCCATCGTCCTAGTGATTTGATTCACGGCTCCTTTAGATGCACAATATGTCGTATGATCGGGTATGGCTCTCTAGAAAGTTGAAAGCAATTAATGAAACGTAAATTACGTCCAAGTCCTGTAGTATTATTACGGACCACCTGACACCCTCACCCTACCCTGACTGATGTAAGAAGTGTTTAATAATTGTAATTTTTTTTTTTTAAACGATCATTAGCAAACCATTTGTGTACCATAGTTGTACAAGGTATGACAGCATTATCGTATTTTGTGGTAGGTGGTACTAGTTGTTGTTGTGACAAATATTACAATAGGTACATAATATTTTAACTTACCGTGGAAATTGTCGAAGAAATATTTACAATAGATCCTTTGATACCGGCATCAATCATGTTTTTTGCCACTGCCTGACTTATTCTCACTAAGGCTCTGGCGTTGATATTTAAAGTCCTGAACAAAAAATAATTTTTTCAATATAATTCACTGGCAATAGTTATGTAATTTATTTATTATATTTAAAAGGACATTTTTTTTTTTTATTTAGAGCTTTTAAATGAGAGAAGTCAATAGTGTAGTCATGTTTATTATAAGAAAGTAAGTTGTATTCAATACTATACACAATATTCATTTTTAGTTCCAAGAATTCGATAAAACATAATAATATTTCATAATTTAGATCTTACATACACAAATTTTACGCTTTGCTTTTATAATACCGACCAAAAAATATTGTTCATTAAACTGTGAATTAGTTCAGTTCAATTTCATTTTTATTTCACACCTCTTTTGTTTGTTATTTTATATTGAACTATTAAATATTTATTTTATTTATTGTATAATATGGGCTGGTAATGGGAGAGTTATTGATTTTGAAACTTTTTATAGACAAACTCATTTCTCTATTTATTTTATAATTTTGAAAAAAATAATGGATTTTATAAAAACAAAAAAATTGTACATAAAGTTTTGTAAAATAAATAAGTGCCATTTTTCCAAAAACATTTTAAATTATAACACATATTTTTCTGGGCAAATGTTACCGACAATTATGCAATTTTTGAGCATAACTATTTATTAGGTAGTGTTTTATTCAGAATTATTTCAACTCCATAGTAAGAATAATGTGTAACCCTTGCCTTATCTAATCTTTATTATTCATGTCAATATAATTACTATGATATTATATAAGATTTTACTAACTTATCCCAACCATGTTCGGTGACATCGAAAAATGGCTCAATAACTGCTACACCGGCGTTGTTGACTAAACCATGTACTGGACCAATATCGTACATTTTCTTGTACGTGTCCTCCCAATTTGAAACATCGCAAAATATTTGTTTGGTATTTGGTAATGCTTTAGAAGCTCCCTCTTCCTTTTCTACCACTGCGTAAACAAATGAACCCAAATCTACTAACCTCTCTGTAATTTTTTCACCCATACCTAAAAACAATATTTATTTATTTATTTATTATTATTAAACAAATAGTCAACATTGATCAATATTCAAATCAGCTTTGATAAACCAATTTATTGTATACAATCTTAAAAATTATAGTTAGTTATATACTTCTAGACAGAAATATAATTAAGTGGTTAATAATATTAAATGATAATGGATTATCATTAATCACCATACAGGTAATTAGACATAACAAAAAATCAAACTCAATATTTTAAACTTTAAACTCTGAAATAATTGGCAAATTAACTTTAAATAAAAATAAGTAATAACTAATGATTTGTGATAAAGTGAACATGTACCTACCTACAAATGTATGCCTTACTCTAATCAAATTGTGTTTAATGTGATTTATTTGATTAACGGTAAATATTAAACGTAAAATATATTTAACTAACGATTCCTGAAACATAGTTCAGTATTCCATGATTATTGGGCCATTAAACTTTATAGTGAACTATTCAATTAATATATTTTTTATACAACATTATATTAGTGTATTAAGATTGTATGTGTAGTACAAAAGTAAATATTAAATAATAAATATTCAAACTGTTGAATAATTGTAGGTTAATATATTTGTAATTACATTTTTAAATTATTTTAAATTGAATAGTTTTATATTATATTATTTAAATCTAAAAGATATAGAAATAAAAAATAAAAATTAGATAAACTCAATATAATTGGTACCTACATTTAATGAAAATATTTGATTAAAAATATTTTATTAACTTTCCTTCGATAAGCCTATCCTACATTTTTGAGATAATGAATTTAAGAATGTCGAAGTTTTATTCCAGATAAAAAAAAAACAGACTAATAATGTAGTTGTAGAATTTATAGGTACATATTATTATGTTTAATATCAAGACTCAAGGGCAATGAATCTATGGTATCAATAATTAACATGTTTCGTCTTATTGAAGTGTTCATGATATTATTCGAGTAATGGAAGTTGTACTGAAATTTGAAGCACTTATAATGCATATAGTTTTTTTTTTTTATTGATCCTTACGCCCCGGCATCTATGGCCATTAGCTGTTAGTAGGTTTGAAGGTGGTGATGGTAGGGTTTTTTGTTGGTGGGGGTTTACACGTGAGTGTTTGTGTTTTGGCAGAATTTCGAATGGGGCACCCGTAGGTTTCTGCCATGCCCGGAGTGGGGGATGGCGGCACTTGTTCTCCGGACACCGTGACTTGCCCGGAGAAAAATGCCGCCCAATGGTCGAGGATCGTACCCGAACCGGCAGCGCCGCAGCCGACGCGTTGACCGCTCGGCCACCTCGTCCCCCGCATACAGTTTAAAAACCAACGAAATTCCTTTTTAGATTGTATTATTATTTATACGACAGCCTGAATTAAAATGTTATCAGAAAACAGAATCAGAATGGTATCTATCTTAATTATCTTTATGTTCTGAATGTTTTGATAGGTACAGAAATCAATTAATTGAGTATTATAAAAATATATTGGGACAATTCCTTCTGTGGTAAAAATAAAACAATAAAAACCACACAACCAAATTGTGATCATTGGTTTTACACTTAATATTTAAAAGTTTTCATGTAACAAGTTATATTTTTGTATATAAAATATGACTATATTATTGAAGTTTATACATTTGAAATAATTACGGATCATAATAATACTCGTATCATTAAATGCATCAAATTATTTTCATATTAAGCTTTAGTTTTTATAGATTTTACATATTATTTGAGATGACATCTTTTAGGCATTGCTCTGGACAGGTTCTTCGGACGAGAATGTTAACTGTAAATTATTATGGACAGGACACGGAAAAATGTACATGTGTGTTGTTACTTGTTAGAGCAGTTGATTGCAAAGGTTAGAAATTTCTGTTCTAATTTGAAAAAAAAAATATAATAAAAGATAAAAATGTATAAAGATATAAAATATATAAATAAATCATAACAATAAAATACTACCTTTTAGTGTTATCCTAAATATTTCAAAATTCATTAATCACTACAGTATAAAATATGATGGTTTGTTTTTTATCACGATTTATTCGGTTTTAAGCATCGGCATTATTAATATATTGGTAACAAGGTTTAAAAAAATTGTCTGGTTTAACTCTTATCGGTTATCAACACTTTTGTTATATACATTTGAAAAACTACTTTGAGTGAATAATATGGTTTATCATACCAAAGTGGTTTAAACAGCTACTCAAAAGGTATTTAAAAGTCAATGTATACTTTAGTACTCTTAACGAATTCAGTCATTTATGTCGCATATTGTATGACATATCACTTATTATATGTATTTTCAAACGGTTTATTACTATTATGACATTGTAATCAAAATGTAAATAAATCTTTGTAAATCACTCAAAACGGCCTCAATTGTGTCTGAGGGTAACTTTAAATAAATAATGAAAATAAAAATGACGACACAGTTATCAACCACTCGTAATTGCGTATTAATCGCTTATAAATTAATATTGTGTTGATATAATATTCTGTACTTAACATTACTCGAACATTATACTGATCATACAATTATACTGTATATATAGTATCATCCTATACACATCAGCACATATTATTATGTGTGTAGTGTGTACCTATGACATGTCTATATTATAATGTTTACCTACCTACTGTTTTTTTTAATAGTGTGACTCACCAGCACAAGATCCAGTGACGATAAACTTTTTGCCTTTGAAGTAATCTTCCATTTTTTGTGGCGCCTGACTAGCCATACTCCTAGATAGAATATTGGCTGCCATTTGTCCAGCTAGTGTAGAAGGTAGTTTGCATATGGAACGAATCATTTTGAATATTAATTAAATTATTGATCGACTTTCAAAATTGAGTTTCAGTCTTATCAACACTTATCCTGAAACAACATCAATCATATTTACCATAAGTTCTTGAATAGTAATAAATTACATTAAATTCAAGTTGTAATCTTGTTCATTGTTTTATTTGTTTTAATAACACTACAAAGTATTTTTTCGAACGACATTCGATGTTATTTATATTCATATAATACCGAGTTAAGTATATTATAATAGTTAACCACGAGTTAATTAAAAAGAAACATTATTTAATTGAAGTATACCTACATCATTGATGTATAGATGTTTTGATATTTGATATCAATTATTTTAATAAGTATTTATTAATTATACGTATGGTGTATGGTAATTTTAAAACAAAACTATAGTAATGTTCAATACATTTGTATTAATATATAATTGTATGATTCTCCAAAATACTCTAAATGACTCTTACTAACCATAAATCATATTTAAATGTTTCAAATCATATCTGTTTTTATCAATTAATTATTTTAACCATTGTTGTAGGTAGGCATTAATAATAATTGCGTATGTCCAATATTAAATATTGCATTGAAAAAAAATTGTTTCGATTATTTACTTAATTGAAATTATGTTTTCATAGGATATAATTAGGTACTGCTATCTATTATTAAATATGTTATGTTATATTATTAAAATCACATTATATTATTGTTATATATTTCAATATTTGTAATTAATTTTAATCAAATGATAACTGACCATATATTCTAGAATAATCTAGATTACCTATTATAATTTATAAGTTATAACGAAAGTAGAGTTAATTACAAAAGTAAAATAAATATTGATAAAATGCAATTTATACTATCTCTATACTGAATCCATATTGTTCAGATTAAGCTATATAATATTATCAATATTACAAACCACCAGAGTGTAAATATTTTAATGACCTTACATAATAGATTTCTGAGGTTTTTAAAAATTATTTAAATGAGTGTTAAGGAAAAAAGTGTGAATACATTTATAATAGTAATATTTAATTAATTATTTACTTTCAAGCGATAAAACTTAGCTAATGGTGTAAGCCTGTAAGACAATTATTTTAGAGGTTGCTAAGACATTTAAAAGTTCACAGTTCAATTCGTTCAGTTAATTAAAATATATCTCAATTGGATATTGATTTATATGTTTAGATTTTTCGTAACTCATTCAGTAGTATATTGTATCATATAGGTATGTTATTCCACACATTTAAAGTTAATTAAAAACGTCGATTACCTATCTAAAAAAAACTTAAGTTAATAATGAATACAATTTGAAAATCTGTTAAATTTCTTAATGGAATGGAAATATTAATACACACATAAGTTTCAACAATTTACAAAAAAAAAAAAACATACATTTTGAGCTATTCCTACTTAATTTATAGATTATTTTAGATTCTGAAGGGAGCAGCGATTAATTTATCGATTTTAAAAAATTGTGTTTTTTCGTGTCTTGAGACACTTTTTATAATAGAAAAAAATTCTTCGAATGGGATCTAAGTGGTACTTTAGGGGTCAAAAGTAGAAATTTCCTAGTATTTTTTGAGATGAGAGGAGAAAAAAATTAACAAAAAAAAGAGAATTTATATGCAAAACCAGTACCTGACAAAATCGATTTGGTTTTTCGATGTAACGCAAAAAGTTATAACCTTAAATAGTACTTGAAATATTCAACCAAATAAATTAGGGAGATACACTTGACACCTACAACTCTACAGTAAAGTGGTTACCTATACCTACACCCCGTCTCCTTTTAAATAAGATTCTGTAATTACTTCCATGTCTCATAATTTTAATTTTTAGAACAATTACAAATATTTTTGAAAGTCTATAACTACAACAGATGTACTAACATTTATAATATACGCCTTCAAAAATAATGTTAAATGCAACTTACATTTTCATTTTAATTAACATTTAGTTCAAATGTAGAAAATCTTATTGTCAAAATAAGTAAAATAACTTGAGTTAAAATATCAAATAATACCTATATAATATATTTTTTTTAGAATGTTAACGAAACAGACTAAATATTAGATAATATAATATCATGGAATACAAGAATATCGTAATTCTATTATACAAATATAGTATATTATTTTGCAGTGTCTTTATTTGATTAAAATGTCTAGAAACTATATAACAAAAAAAAAAACAGTTGGAATAGACAAACAACTTACCGCCAACAACGCCGATAGAAAGCAATAAACTGCGTAACGCTACTTGTGGAGTAGTGAAACTAACTAAAGTATTGCAACGAACGCATGCGTGCTGATATAGTAAGCATTATTATTATTATTATTATTATTATTTTTTTTTTTTTTTTTTTTCGTAAATTGTAGAGTGGCCAAACAAGTTATTGCGTAGTAGACATGTGGGGGGAAATTGATGTGGGTTGGTAAAATGAAAGAGTAGTGTGCCTCAAAACGTACACAACATTTACAAATATTATAATATTTTGTTGTAAAATATGCTTTAAATGCGATTTATAAACTGCGTAAGATAAAATGAATGTTACACACGACTTTGACAAACATTTCAGTATTGATTTCATACAAATATACAATAGAAACGCAATGGATTCATTATTAAAATCGAAACAAAAGTATATTTAAAAATTTGAAATTTCCATGTTTAAACAAAATTATAAAATATTCTACCTACCTACGCTAACATAATATACGTAATATAATAATATAATATTGGTTATAAAAGGTTTGCCAAATAATATTGAGTACCTACACTAACTTATTAAAAATATTACTTTTTTTTATATTTTGCTTTTTCAGACTTTCAGTGTGTACTGAAGGTTTTGAAGGAAATATTTCAATGGTTTCACTATCAGTCAAAATAATTGCTATTTAATGAAGAAAAAAAATAGTGCTTCGTTATAACATTTTTGACACTTAATTTTGATTCGCAGACACGCAGAACAGAATGACCTACATGTATTATACATCACTTATGTTCGTACTGTATAATTTTAAATTAATATTATTCGAATACAATTGATTCAATTAAACTAGAAAAAAATGGAATCTGTTAGTTCAAGGTTAATTTTATGAGTTTTCAAACAAAGTTTATTTATGAAATTTATTAATTGTATTATAGAATATAATACTGTGTTTGGTACCAGGTTATTATAAAATAGTAAATTTTACCAACTGCCAAAATGTGTGCAGCATCTTAAAAAAAAAATACATATTACAAAAAACTCAAAGAATTAAAAATGACCATAATATATAAATTGATCTAATTGTTTAGGCCTAATCACCACAAGATCGTGATTCGGAACAATAACCTCACCAATGTATATACATACAGTGAAACCACCACTAACGAATACCTCCAAACAGCGGACGTTTTTTTACATGTCTCTTGAATAATTAAGTATTCATATATTTTATACTGCAAGATTCAAGAACTCAATTTGTATGACCATTTTTGGAATTTGTATGCGACCCCCTCCAAAATTTTTTTTATATATATATAAAACCTATATATGAGTGGTTACCCAAAATCTAAGACTTATAATAAAACTGGTTAGAAAAACCGTTAATATAGAAAACCTGGTTTTAATAACCAAAATTGATTTGGTTTATGTGTTACAGTTTGTAACTAATTCTTTTATTGTTGTTTATTGATATTTTAATTGTTTTATATAATAATAATGTTTTAAAGTATAACAATTTTAATTTATATATGACTTATAATGTATATAATATTATAATATTCACCTAGTACATGTAGAAATATAGTAGGTTTTTTTTAATTTTTTGAATATTCGAGTAATTAATTTTTTCCATTATAAATGTTAAACAATACAGTAAGCACCTTTTACACTTAAATTAAATTTTAAATGGACCCATCTTGAATATTAATATAATTCTAAAATGATAGTATGACACAACCCTACAGGTTTTAAATTACATATATAATAATATATCCATAGGTATACTATTATCCAAGTGATTATCACTGATTTTAAATTTTAATACCTTTTCAATGCATATTATTTTAAATTTAACTTAATTTATTAATTTAAGCCAAGTTAAATTAATATAGTATTTGTTAACCTTATTTTAATTTAATTGATGTATTAAATATGTGTAGTAACATAACTTTTAATTTAATTGAAAAAAAATATACTTTACTAAATTACCTATATAAGTTATAAACTAACATTAACTTGCCCAGCCGTGGATTTAGGTAATTCGTGTTTTATTATTTGCTTGTAAGCTGTTTTTAACAATATACACAATATGACGTGCATAACCTTCTTACTTGAAATACAACAATATCTATATTAGTAAAGTACGTGATGTGAATTCAATAACTTATTTTTTATGTTTTATATGAAAAACTTTTTAATTTTTTTAACTCGTTGAACCTTTAAAGTACAAGTTCATTTTGAGAAATTATGTAAATTAATTTTCAACTGTAATACTACTACTACTACTACTACTACTACTACTACTACTACTACTACTTTTACTACTATTATACTACTAGTACTACTACTACTATGTCCCTAACCATTCCAAAATATCAAAAATGCATGACGAAAATATTCAAGTTTTCACTTCTGCCGGCACTCCCGGAGTGCAACCCGTCTGGTTATTTATTTTTTTATTCGTTTCTATGGTAATAAACAAAGCGTTAGAAATTAAAATCCCATCTTTAGCGGTTTTTCGAAATTGGTCGGTGGTTTTTCCCGTAACATTAAATAACTAATGAGAAAATCGAAAAATGATCTCTCTAAAGTACCATCTTGATTCAATTTTCTAAAATATAATGTACTATATCTATATGTTGAAATCAAAGCACTCCTTCTGGTAGAAATTTTGTATACAGGATAAAAAAAAAAAAATTCTAGGTAGTTTTAAAAAGAACTGGGAAAAAAATTAACTGAGAAAGGAGATTTTTACACTAACCTAGTTTTTACAAAATCGATTTTGT